AACAGATGATGGTCAGATTTTGCTCCATGGATGAGATTCCTTCCTGCACCAAACTAAGTGATGACCTTTCGAAATGAAGATATGGCAGGGGATGTGATATGAATACCAGTACACTGCAGGAAGAAACATTATCAGAGTTCATGGTTCATAAATCAGCAGGTGACCAGCAGAATGATAATGGCAGTAGAACCAATGAAGTTTATGATAATTAGCCACTTTTTGTACATGATGGTTGTAAGTAGATTAGTTTAGAATATCGTTTACACTAGTGTTCAAAGTTCTGTTGGTGGTTTCTTTTCTTCTTTTTAACAGTACAGGAAATTTGAATTAAAATCCCTTTCTACAATGTGGATTCCATGACATGAGAAGCTAGAGGTACAGGAGATTGAGAGATTTTTTTTTTTCAATAGTGAAGAACAAGACAATGAATATTGATGGCAAAAGCATGTTGAGAAAGGAAGAGGCTGACAGATTGTGCAGGAGGCAGCGAGGTACAAAGCTGATGATGAGGAAGTCAAGTCCAAGGTGGATGCCAAAAATTCGCTAAACAACTACACCTAAAACATGAGGAAAACCATGAAGAATGTGAAGGTTGCTGGGAAATTGGACCCTGCAGGCAAGCAGAAATTTGACCAATTGATGAGACAATCTAGCGCCATAGCACAGGTATCATTTGTTTTAACGTGAATTGTGAGAGGAAATGAGTACCACGCTTTTGGTGTTACTGATAGAGTGAAATTCGTTCCTATGTTTCATCATCTTAAAAAAAAATCGATGTAAACTTTATTTCAAGCCAATACACCAAAGCATTCTGTTAGTTATCTACGCCTATCGGAACAGATAAAGGTCAAAGTTTGCTCCATGGATGAGCTTCCTTCTAGTACCAAACTATGACCTTTTTGAAAATGAAGATGATTGGTGTAACGAGGAGAAATGCAATGAAGATATAAATACCAGTACGGGACATGAAAAAAAAAATATCGACTTCATGGTACATTATGCAGCAGGTTCATCAGAATGATGTTGACAATAGAATGAATGAATTATACGGATGAAATAAAGAAGTGCAAGAGGAAGAGCGGTAGAATGAAAAAGAAGCAACATTATTGGGCTTTAAACTTGATTGTTCACCAGTGTTGATTTGAGGCACCCTGCAAGGGAACAATTAACAACTATGGTTGCAGACAATGATCACTCTCCCGGAAGAAGCTACCTCATGCCTTTACGGCCGAGGTAATAAATTTGACGACTCCAACTCCCCTATACAGCAGAACCGGTTTATGTGGCAAGAAGATCTCAATTCCGTCCAATCATAGAATGTTTGACAATGTTTTAGTTTGGTGACTGATGGCATATTGTAAGTTGTAAGCACACGTGTGAGCAATCTTTGTTCAACTTTTAGAGTTTTTACTGGAATAAAAATCTTTCTACTTATACTGCCCTGCTTGATATCTACGAGAACTGCAGACTGGTTTAAGCTGTCTTAGATCTTGATTAGTTTTACTTTCTTTCTCCAAAACCTGCCCATTCTTAAATTTCTTGCGGTAATTATGCTTTGCGTTCAGGCCTAATGAAGGCGAATTTGAATCATAACTAGCCGCAGATGAGAAATTATTCTTTTTGTGCAAATTGAAAAGAAAATCAAGTTGAATGTTAGAGAGCAGCTCTCCATTATTTGGTTATCAAATTTAGAAATCAACAAAAGTAAAATTACTGGGAAAAGGGAGCCAGTTCATTGATAATTTTTACATGATCATCCGGAACAAAACACCACAGACAATTAAAGTAACACTAATATTAATAAAAAGAGAAATTAATTAAAGCCGGTCAAAATCATGTTACAAATCTTCGTTCAATACCAAGTTCAGATGTTCCATAAACGAATAACTATTCAAGTAGGCTGATTCCGAATAATGATTGGTCGACCAAATTGTCGAAGGCACTTGGATGATAAGCTTCCTCTACTCCTCCAATAGCAAACATAAAACCCCTGTAGAAACTTGGATTCAGAGGTTCCTCTTCTTGGGTTTCAGCAAGCCAATATTGTTCTAGTAAACTTGGATCCCAAGCTTTCTCTTCTACGGTTCCATCTTCATCAGCAGCCCCTGATGATGCTGGCAAAGTCAGTTCTCGGGTTTCAGGAATCAACTTCTCTAACATATTTGGATTCAAAGCTTGATCTTCCACTTCTCCATCAGCAACGACAACGTTGGAAGAAACCAGCAGTGGCACTTCTTGTCTTTCTTTACCCAATAACGATTCCTCTGAGGCAGAAGCTGTTGGCAAAAGCACTTCTACTGCTCCATCGGTCGGCTCTTTAGCCAATATTTCATCTAATTTGGCAACAGTGATGGTCAATCTCGCATCATTATCATCATAACCATAATCAACATCATCACCGGCCGTAAGCTCATTGATCTCATGATCAGAAACCACAAGATTACTAGTTAGACAAGAATTGCATTGTCGTCCTTCCTCCTCCTCAACATTGATCACATTCATGCTTTGTTCAGACCCCGCTTGGTCATCTTTTTCGATGTCTTTGTTAGCACGCTTCTTCTTCTTCAGCACTTCATCGTCCTGTGAAGATGAAGTCGAACACTTCCTCCTGTTAATGCCAGACGTGTTCCTCAACCGACAAAGTACAGAATCAAAGTCGTAACTTGTATGGCTGTTGCGCTTCCTTGGAGATGCAAAGAGACTGTATTCGTCTAGTTTCCACCCGCCGTGTTCTTCGGAGCCTTCATTCTTGTACCAGAAGGTTCTCTTTAGTCCGATACAGGTAGAATTACCCTCAGTCCCTTCAACCCAAGCGGGCACCGACTTGCCTTCCCAAGTACCTCCGAGGCCCATCTTTCGATCAACTTTGGAACCCTTTGGGGTTTTCTTCTTGAGCTTAGAGAAGAAGTACAAGGCTGGTTGCTCAGCATCAGCAAGTTGAAGTGCTGCTCCTCCCCCAAAAGCTTCCCAAATCTGAGAGGGTTGGAATTTGTTGCCGAAGAGGTTGTACTTGTGTAGGTGTTGTGTGGCAGCGGGGGCTGTAGCCGCGGTGTCTTCACCAAAAAGTAGTGGAGAAAGCCACCGACGAGTTCTTGATCGGTAGGTTTAAAGCTGAAATCGGGCGGGACAAGGGTGTTGGAGTTTGAGACCCTCTTGTCTGGTCAATAGTATTTTTTCACAAGCCTTTATATAGGCTTATTCCCTTTTCTTAGTAATTAGAACTTGGACCATTTAGAAATGGATTGAAGATTTGGGCCTTATGGTTGTGTGGATTAGGCTTGAATATAATATAGCCTAAATACAATTAATATTAATTAATCAAGACAAGGGCTTGGGCCTTGGAATTTAAAATTATTTTTAATTTTCGGATTAAGTTTTTAAATTAATTTATTAATTAAAAAAAACGTTTTGATTAAAAGACACAGCTATTAGAAAGAATTGTACTTTTTTATTAAAAGACACAGCTATTAGAAAGAGTTGTGTGCTTTCAAATACACTGAACAGGTATTTGAAAAGGTGTTAAACAACCTATATATTTGCAATCACAGTATCCAAGTGAGAATGATCTTTGTCTTCCTCCTTATCTTCCGTACAAAACTTCCAGAGAGTAAACACACAAAGCAATTCGCTAGAGTTCTATAATCCAGTGCGGGTTGTAGAACTTGGTAGTTGTATCCTGGTCGAGCAGACGTTGTAGAACCACAAGCACAAGAGTGGGACGAAAATACTGTTCGAAGGACATATCTTTTACGCTAGCCTCTACCTTCTGTGATCAAGTTAGTATCATTGATATTTTTATATTAGTTTATGTATTTATTGTATAATTTCATTCTGCACATCAAGTATATTTGGTAAATAAAATATTAGAATTTTAAGTTCTGTTTATTTATGTTATTTTTGTTTATTTCTGAATTGTTCTCCAACAAAGGGAATAGTTTTCCATTTACACCACAACGCCGAAGACGTGGAGTCGAGTCGAGTAGTGAACTAGGTTTTTGATTGGACGATTAGAGAGGGCGTTGTTTGGGTATTTATAGAATACAATCTCCTCAACCTATTAGGATTTACTGAATTTGAATTTAGAATTAGAGAGAGAAAGAGTGGCAGTGTTGCTTGGAGGGTAAGAAATTAGAAACCCTAACTCTATAGCATCTTTAAAAAATGTGTCAAATTTTGAACATAAAATTTAAATTTAACAATTTATGTGGCATTTTGACGGTTTTTAAAATTTTATTCTCCACCTTATATGTCATTGTTTTTTTTTTTTTTTGATGCAATATATGTCATTGTTAAATTATTATATTATAAAATAAATGATTAAACTAATAAATATTTAATAAAGGGCATGTGATAATTACTAAATCCGGATACCTTTTTTTGGAACAAAAGGGGACCGTTCAATTGAACAAAAGGGAACCAGTCAACAACGACATTAATTATAAAAATGATTAAACCAATAAAAAGTTAATAAAAACATTAATAATCAAATTTCACAGCAATCCTCTTGCTGTCAATTCATGTTATCGACATATAAGAATTAACATTTCGCTTAAAGAACATTATTGTGGTCATTTTTACTGTTATAGCTTATGTGAGCATTTTGACATCTCATTTATATATGCTTTAAATCGTCTTGATTGTACAAGAAAATAGAAAGAAACCCAATTTTAGTAGGACTCTCTCAATTTATGCTAAGTTTCATAGCCGTTAAGTCATTTTATTTAAAGAAAACTAATGAAAATGGCTTGAAAACTTTGAGCGTTAACAATAAAGACAAAATAAAAGGTAAAGTGAATAGTATCAAGATTGACTTTTTAGTGTAAAAATATGGTTTTTCGTTAAAATGAACAATATCATGAGCTTTTCGTTAAAGTTCCCTTTTATTTAAGCACATGTTTATTTTTTTTTAATTCAAATATTCATCTTTTTTCGTTAATTCTTTTAATTCCAAAAAAATTGTATATACTCATTCTGTTTTCCTTTTTATTTATTCACTTATATCTCCAAAAATTGGATTTTGTAATGCAGACATTAAATTGGAAAAAATGGAATAATTGAAGAAACCACTGATCCATGGAATTTTGTTTGGATAAAAACAAAGGGAATTATTAAAGAATGTCAAGTTTTGATAAATAACAAAACAAACCTTCAACTTTCTTTTTTACTGCGCTCCTTGCTGCGCCAATTTACGGGCCATAATTCCTGACGAGAAGGAGGAGGACGGAACTGGAAGTAACAAAATCGGGTCAGGTCGGAGCTCAGGTAGTAACTTAATGTCTGTACGTGATTTGGATTGGGTTGTGACTAGTGAGTGGCATGCACGTAATATGTTTGATAAAATGTCTTCCTGAAGGTCTTTGATTCTTTGCATTCTTGTGCAACTTAGGGTTTTGTTTGTGTTCGGTTTGCTTAATTCTGAAATCAAAAGGTAATATAGTTTCTTATAGTAGGATGTGTGTCTCATTCACGTTTTGCAACTAGCTGTGGAACAATGTTGCAAATAAACGGCAATCATTGGCACCTTTGGTTAGCAAAATTGGATCTCCTGATGCTGCTTATTCTTCTCTTGTGCTAGGGATTAGTTTCTTCTTAGATTACTGCTACGACTTATCTCCTGATGCTGCTTTGTAATTGTATCTTTCATGACTCCTATATGTCATTTGACGCAGATTCAATGCGAATCCAAGGTGTTGAATGTGAAAGCACGATGGCAAAGTGTCCATGGGAAATCTTTGATTTATCAACTAACGTGTTGCTCTCCAGGTCTCTTCATTTCTTTTCGTTCCCTCTAAAATTAGCTAATGCTTCCAACAGTATGATACATAGCCACTTATTGTACGCTTTGATTGTAAGTAGAGTAGTTCAGAATATCGCTTTGCACCCGTTATCAAGTTTCTATTGATGGTTTTTTTTTTTTTTTTTTTTTTTGCCTTTTAGATACTATAGGAAATTTGAACTTCAAATCTATTCTTACAATTCCACAATATGAAAAGTTGGAGGTACAGGAGATTGAGAAATTTCTGGTTTCTTTTGTTTTTCAAACAACCATTGACAAACTCTGGTTGAGAAAAGGAAGAGGATGAGATCGAGATTGTACAGGAGGCAGAGAGGTACAAAGTTGAAGGTGAGGGGGTTAAGACCAAGTTGGATGCCAAGAAATCACTCACTTGAGAGCTACACCTAAAACATGAGGAGCATCATGACGGATGAGAACGTTGATGGGAAATTGGACCCTGCACACATGCTTTTGCTGCTACGGACTAATAGAATGTTATCTGCTGGTCGTCCACACCTGCCAGAATAGAGGGCAAAGTTTGCTCCATAGAGCTTCCTTCCAGCACCATCTGATGACCTTTCTGTAAATAAGCACGGGCGGTACAATTAAAAGTAGTATGATGATGCTTTGAATGACGGTACCTTACAGGAAGAAACATTATCAGATTTTATAGTTTATAATCCATCAGTTGATTAGAAGAATGATACTGGAAAGATAATTAACAATGTATATGGATGCAATCAAGAAGTAAGATGATGATTGTACAAAGCAATTTAGTTTCATCACATCAGCCGTGTAGAAGCGTAAATCTGCTGATGAAAGTACGTGTTGAACTGGGACAAAGGGATCCATTAGCAACTAAAGCTGCAGATAATGGTCAGTTGCCCAGCAGAAGCTGTCTCAGGCCTCTTATGTGGAGCTGAGGTAATATACTTACGACTCCAGCTCCGCTATGTAGAAGTGTTTTATCGACTTGACTACAAAGGAGAAGCAAACAAGCGTATGATTGCTCCTATTGTTTGGTCAAATAATTTAGAGGAATCGTTGTCATATTTGCCTGATGGCACATTGTACGAAAACAAGTGTCAAATATGTTTAAATCTTACAGGCTTCACTGAAATAAATTTTTTTAACCCATTTGCCACTCAAATCACATCATGTTTATTGTATCTGACTTTTCATCTGTTTTACTTATGTAGAATTCTGAAATTTGACGATGGCGGTGTTTCCAATTTTATTATGTGTTGTTTTTCTTCGGTTTTGTGTTCCAGGGCTTGAAAGAATTCAGTACAATTAGCACCTCACTTGGATTCAATTGATGGTTAAAATGATTGATTTGCTGCAAATTAATTAAGTAGCCAACAAGAACTTGCAAATTAAAAGGAAATTGTGAACATGTAAAGCAAAGCAACGACAACTTAAGAGAACTGACCGAACAAACAAAATCAGTTCATTGACAATTGAAGAAACGAAAAGTACTAATAAAAGAAATTAAAGCCGATCAAAATTGTGGTATAAGTCTTCAGGGACAAGTTTTGCAGAAAGTGAAAATTATGCTGAACTTGTATAATATGGTGGCATGAACTGATCATCCATAAACGAGTTATTCCAATGGTTCATGTCGAATAAGGATTGGTCGCCCACATTCTCAATGGTACTTGGATTGCAAGCTTCCTCTAAATAAAGTAACATACCAGATATAGTCGGAAAAGGGTCTTGTTGGGTTTCAAGATCCAACAAGCCAATATTCGTCCAACGAACTTGGATCCCAAGCTTTCTCTACTACGGCTCCATCTGCAGCAACTACAGAAGCTGCTGGCAGAGGCAGTTCTTGGGTTTCAGGGATTAAATCCTCTTAACATATTTGGACTCAAAGCTTGCTTTCTACTGCTTCACCAGCATGTTGAATAAGAAGAGTATCCAAGATAACTCTAATGATCCCAAGAAGAAGAAAATAGGGCACACTCTTAATGAAAACTCACAAAACAAACTAATTAGCAAAGTTTTTCTTATTTAGCTCTAGGCTTTGTTTTTCCTTGGATGATTTACAATGCTTGGGGACTTGGGTATTTATAGCAAACCAAATGAAAGCTACACCACACACTTACTTCACCTACAACATCCACCTACTTCACCTACAACCTCCACTTACTTCACCAACCTCACACACTTACTTCACCTACAACATCCACCTACTTCACCTACAACCTCCACTTACTTCACCAACCTCACACACTTACTTCACCTATAAATGACATTGATTCTCAACACTCCCCCTCAATGTCAGCTCTCATTCTTTGCACTGTGCTGAGTAAACAGCGAAAAATTTCGAGCTTGCCTGTACTCAAACTTTTTTTTGTGAACAAGTCCGCAACTTGATCATTCGTCTTGACCTGTCTCATCTCAATCTCTTCTTGCAGAACCTTTTCTCCACTTCCACCAGGATGTTGATGTATATAGGAATTGTAATGGCAAGTGGCAGTGCGGATGCGGCAATGTCCTTCACGCGTCTTCTGAAAAGCCGGGAGCTTTTGACAAAGTTGCACTAACTTTCTGGAAAGCCGGGAGCTTTCGGCTTTGTCTCCCACACTTGTCGGCAAAAGTGTGCAGCTAATTTCTCGCCTTCCACGCGTCTTCTGATTCGGTGAACGCCTCTCCTTTAATAGAGGTGATCGATCACCTCTATCAATGCACACTTTGAAGACTTCCCAAACATCATCTTCGGCCCGTCGAGATTTTCCTCCATCCAACCCTTCTCTTTAAACTCTTTGAAAAATGGCTAGCTCATCCAACCCATCGAACATTTGCTTAGATTTGAGTCTAAGCAGTGATCCGGTCGCGCCGCGTCAGGATAAGGTATGGTGCCCGTCTTTCTTATCTTCTCATGGCCCCCTTACAGGTGAGGACTCTGTGATGACGGATGCAACAACGGCTACGATAGTAGCTCGGAACCTCCTCACTCCCAAAAATAGTCAGCTGCTTTCAGGACGGTCCGATGAGTTGGCCGTTCAAGAGTCCCTGGCTCTCAGTGTTCAGTGTGCTGGCTCTGTGTCCAACATGGGCCAACGCCTTCTTGCTCGCTCCCGTCAGGTTGAATCATTAATGGTGGAGAGTCTTAAGCAGGAGATCAAACAGCTTAAGCACGAGAATCGAAGTTTGCACGTGCTTGCCAACAATTATTCGACAGGCATGAAGAGGAAGCTTGATGAGCTTGATGACCATCAAAGGTTTACGGCTTTCTTCCAGAGGCACCTCTTTCCTGGGTCATCCAGCGTTCCACCAAGGTTTGGGGCCTTGAATGATCTATCTTCGGTGCCTCTCGCTCCGATGCCTTCCGCTCCGATGCCTCTTGCTCCGATGCCTTCCGCTCCGATGCCTCCTGCTCCGATGCCTTCTGCTCCGATGCCTCCTGCTCCGATGCCTCCTGCTCCGAGAGTGTTGCCACGTAGTGGGGCCTCACGTACACAACCCTTGTGAAGGCTCCACCTTTCTTTCTTTGTTATATACATTTGTAATTTCTCGAAAATTAATGAACAAGCTTTGTTTTATTCAGTGCATTGGGTTGCCTTCCAAGTAGCGCTTTCTTTTACGTCTTGCAGCCGGACGAAGCCTTCTTAGGCTCAATTGGAACCCACGACATGGAATTTATCTTTGAATGGGGGTTGGATAGTATGCTCCCCCATCTTCTGTTGCAGCTTTTCTCCAAATTCTCTAGAGTCTGGTAGCACCTCTTTCTCTGATGACCACCAAGAAGACGCTTCATCAAACACCACATTTCGTGAAGTGTAGCACCTTCCACTTGTTGGATCACAACATTTCCACCCCTTTCTCTGGCTGTCGTATCCCACAAAGATACATCTAACAACTTTCTTGTCAAATTTGCTCCGTAAATGATCAGGAACAAATACATAGCATACACAGCCAAATACTCGAAAATAGCTAACTGTAGGTTTCATGTTCCACAGATTCTCAAAGGGAGAAACAAATCCTAACCTTGGTTGAGGAAGTCTGTTGATCACAAAGGCTGCAGTCCTCATTGCTTCAGCCCAAAACCTTCCCGGTACGTTCTTTGCATGTAGCATACTTCGACAGACTTTTGAGCTATATTCTCCCCCGTTATCTGTGCGTAGGCAACGGATCTTCTTTCCCACTTCTCCTTCGGTTGACTCTCTGAACTCTTTAAACTTTGAGAATGTGTTAGATTTTTCTTTCATAAAGAAGACCCACACATACCTTGAGAAGCCTCGAGCCACCAACCGAGCCTTGTACCATTCAACTGAACCATCAGGATGACGCTTTATCTTGTACACCCTTTTGCAGGATATGGGTTTCACATCCCTTGGCTTTGGCACCAAATCCCAAGTCTGATTCTGCTTAAGCGCAGTGATTTCTTCTTCCATAGCTCTTATCCATTCAGAACTCTGTGATGCTTCTTTAAACACCTCAGGTTCTTTTGGTGCTCCATCAGTTATGGCAGCATTATCATATTTAGGATTTGGCTTTCGTACTCTTGTTGACCTTCTTAGTTGTGATTGTAGAGTTGATATTTCTACTCTACTAGGTCTAACTTCTTGTGGTTGTTGGTACACACCTGTTTGCCAAGTACTCTTAGGTACTTCTTGGTCGACATCGTCTCCAGTAAGCAAATCTTCAGGCTCATCTGGACTTGATTGGATTTGGGCAGCTTGGTCTCCCAGTTTCCCTTGCAACGTATCTTCAAACTCTTTTGGGTCAGGTGACACCTCAGTTTCTGAGCACCAACAAGATGATGCTTCTGCGTCCCATTCTTCCTCCACAGCTAGAGACGCAACGACATCCCAATCATCTTCAATTTTCTTTTCTGAGTTGGCGACGTTACTTTCTGCAGGCCTTTTGAACCAGCAATCCTTCGCCATGTGGCCATTCTTTCCACAATTGTAACACTTGCCCTCAAATCTTTTATTATTCTGGGACTGACCACGGTTGCCGTGATACTTCGGAGCTCCCCCTGGCCGAGAACTCCCTCCTCCTTGATGACCTTTTTCCTTGTCACCATTTCTTTTAGATCCACCATCAGCACGCTGCTTAAAGCTGCCTTTACTTTTGGTGTAGAGCGCTTCCTCTTCACTCTTCAGTGAGACTCCTCCCATTTACTTGGCCATAGCTTCTTGACTTGCAAGCAAATTTTCAAACTCCATAAGCGATGGTTGTGTCGGCCATCCTTGTATAGCGGCAATGAACCCTCGATATTCGGGTCTCAAACCATGGATAATTATTCTTTTCATCCTGGTTTCCCCAATAGGAGCTGTTGGATCTAATTCTGAAATTTCGCGGCATATCGACTTCACCTTGTGAAAGTACTGGGCAATCGTCATGTCGCGTTGTACCATCGATAGCAGCTCATTCTCAAGAAGTTGCAATTTTGTATCGTTCCTCTTCGAAAAGAGTGTAACAAAAGTGTCACATGCTTCCTTTGGCGTTTTAGCATCCCGAATGTGCTCCAACATTTCTTCTTCTATTGTGGTCTTTAAGGCAAACATTGATTTGCCTGCTTTAATTTTCCACTTCCTCAAGACGCCGTTAGCATTTTCCGCTGCCGGTTGTGTAACTTCACTACCACCGACAACTTCCCACAAGTCTTGACCTTGAAGGTAAGACTCTATACACGTTGCCCACGTGTTATAGTTTTGATTGTTGAGCTTCTTGATTCCTCCAACAACTTGAAGATCACCCATCGTATCGGCAAGACTTTGACTACACCGAACAAGCTTGAGTGACTACCGTGCAGAGTAATACACTACTCTCGACACCCCTCTCAAGGTTTGTGATGACCCCAGCAATAATCTCAAGAAATTTTTTCTGATGTGGAAGATCAGTCAAAACTGCAACCACAGAGCATACTCGGAATTTCAAGAGACTTTACAACCAATGCTCTACCAAGAACGATCCCTGACCGACTTGGCTCTGATACCAATTGTTGAATAAGAAGAGTATCCAAGATAACTCTAATGATCCCAAGAAGAAGAAAATAGAGCACACTCTTAATGAAAACTCACAAAACAAACTAATTAGCAAAGTTTTTCTTATTTAGCTCTAGGCTTTGTTTTTCCTTGGATGATTTACAATGCTTGGGGACTTGGGTATTTATAGCAAACCAA